GGATTTCATCCAGATACCTAATGGCAGTCAGGGTGCCTTTGCTAGCCTGTAGAGCATGGCCAGATCTGGGTGGGAAATTTTGTGCTGGGAGGTTGTGGTAAGATGGGGGGGATTTGGGTAAGGATGGATTTGTCCGGGGAAGGGTAATTTGGAGGGGATTGTGCTAGGTGGAGGGATTTTTTTTTTGGGGGGGGGGGGGGGGGAGATTATATGTGCTAGGAGCGGGCTTGGGGGAATTGAGCCAGAAGGGATTGGGTGGAATTTGTGTTGGGGGGTTTGTACTAAGGGGATATTGGGGGGGGGGGTGTGTGCGCTAGGGGGGAGGGATTGGGGAGAATTTGTGGTGTGAAGGGGAATTTTGTGCCAGGAGGGGGTGGGGGAATTTGGGTTAATAGGGGTGACTGGGGAGAGATTGTGCAATTTTGGGGGATTTATGATAGGAGAGAGGAATGTGCAGGAGAATTTGTGCTAGGATGGGAAATTTGAGAAGAAGAGAATGTGTGCTGGGAGGGGAGAATTGGTGTGGGATTTGAGCTGGAAGGCAGGATTGGAGGGCAAATATTTGTACTGGGAGGGTGGATTTAATCTTGGGAGGAGGGGGATTTTTGCATTTTTTTTGGGGTGAAGATTTTAGCTTGCAGATGGAGTTTTGCTGAGGGGGAGTGTTTAATTATGGCACACTTTTTTTTTTTTTTTGATGGCCAGGAATTTATGCTGAGGCAGGATGTTTACACTTCAGAGGCGCAGTTTGTCATTTTCACTCTAGGTGCTAGATGACCTTGTCCAAGCATTGCCTGCGCTACACACAGGGCACTAAACAGATCTCCTCCTCCCCACACAGTACATAGCTTAGATCGGATCCCTTACAGACACAGCCTCAATCTATATAGTGTATAGCTGGCTGCTATGTTGCAGTTCTGACATGTGAAATCCCCAGATCTGAATGATAGCACAGCTGCTGTAGCCAGCTACAAACTGCAGGTCAAGGCTATGTCTGTAAGGAAATCCAATCCAAGCTGTGTCCTATGAGGGGAGGAAGAGATTGGCTGAGTGCCCAGACTATGTGCAGTGTGGGGGTGGGAGTAGGAGCTCTGCTGAGTGATCTGCCACCAGTAAACACAGTCCTCCACTCTGCTGCCCTGAAGACACCTGTTCTCCATCCTGCTGACCTGTCATCTGCTCTGTTGACCCCTGCCCTACAGACCACCTGTACACTGCCCTCTTGTATGCTCCGCTGCCAACCTGTCCACTGCCCTGCTGATCTCACATCCTCTGCCCCCAACATTTTTTTTTACCACACTCCCACATCAGACAGGCTAGATCCAGCCCTGCTGTAGAGGTCTGTGCGTCCATCCATGGATATGCCTCCCCAGACCATCACTGATACACCACCAAAAACATTCATGATTAATGTTACAGGGCGGCATAACATTCTCCATGGCTTCTGCAGACCCTTTCACATGCTCAGAGTGAACCTGCTCTCATCTGTGAAAAGGCCGCTAGTTCTGGTGTTAAATGGAAAATGCCAGTCGAGCTCTATGGTGCCAAGCAGTGAGGACAGAGCCCACTAGAGGACGTTGAACCCTCAGGCCACCCTCATGAAGTCTGTTTGATTGGTCAGAGACAGTCACACCAGGTGCCTGCTGGAGGTTGATTTGTAGGGCTCTAGCAGTGCTCATCCTGTTCCTCACACAAAGGAGCAGATACTGGTCCTGGGTTAAGGACCTTCTATGGCCCTGTCCAGCTCTCCTAGATTAATTGCCTGTCTCCTGGAATCTCTATGCTCGAGACTGTGCTGAGAGACACAGCAAACCTTCTGGTAAAGGCACTTATTGTGACATCCTGGACTGCCTGTGCAACCACTGAAGGGTGCAGGTATCACCTCATGCTACCAATAGTGACACCGACCCTAACCAAAACTAGTGAAAAAAAAACAGTCAGAAAAAGAGGCGTAGGGAAAGAAAAAAAATAAAGTCAGTAACCTCAACCTATGAAACCATTCCTGTTTTTTTTTTGGGGGGGGGGGGGGGGGGGGGGAGTTATCTCATTGTTGCTCATCAAGTTTACCTGTTAATTTCATTAACAAAGCAGCAGAAACTGATTAACAACCCCCTCTGCTACTTAACTGACCAGATCAATATTCCAGTTTAATTGACTTGATGCTCTACTCTGATTAAAAAGCGTTCCTTTAATTTTTTTTTTTTTGAGCAGTGTATACAAATAAATAACACTGACCAGCCACTTTACTAGGTATACCTGTTCAACGGCTTGGTAACAAATTGCAAATTAGCCAATCACATGGCAGAAGTGCGTTCAGGCATCTAGATGTGGTAAAGACAACTTAAGTTGAAACCAAGGGAATGGGGGGGGGGGGGGGGGGGGGGGGGGTTTAAGCGGCATTGCACAAAAACTGCTGCTCTGCTTGGATTTTCATGCACAACCATCCCTAATGAAATCTAGACTCAGGCCAGGCAACATTTTTCCAATCTTCTAATGTCCAATTTTGGTGAGCCTGTGCAAATTGCCTCCGTTTCTTGTTCTTAGCCGACAGGAGTGGCACCTAGTGTGGTCGTCTGCTGTTGTAGCTTATCTACTTCGAGGTTTGACGGGTTGAGCGTTCAGAGATAGTATTCTGCATACGTTTGTTGTAATGAGTGGTTGAGTTAATGTTGCCTTGCTATCATCTTGAACCAGTTTATCCATCCTCCAATGACCTCAAGGCTGGATATTTTCCTTTTCCTGACCACTCTCTAAACCCTAGAGAAAACTAATCCCCTTCCTTCCCCATTCTGATTGATTCTCAGTGCTCACAGCCAATTCCTGTGAGCACTGACTGCTGTGTTCTGGCAGAGGGGTAGTCCCCTTGTCAGAACACAATAGCTCAGTGGGGAGACCTCTGTACTAACATTGCATAGACAGTACAGCAAGTGCCTCAGTATTCCTTCAGCATGCAAAGAAACAAAAAACTGCCCACCAGTGTGTACCAGGCTTAAAAACTCTAGAAAGGGTCATGGACTGGCCTAGTTGTGTCCATTCCTCCTGTAGGCAGCAATATAACCCAAAAGGTGAAAGACTGCCTGTATCCTTCACTTTTTTTAATTTTGTGTAAACTCCAGTGACTTGATTTCCCAGCCAAACACTTTAATCTCTAAATTATTTCAAAAGGCAACACTTGCAGCTATCATCTCCCCAGTTATTTAAATATGCTGAAAAATTAGAAGGCAAAAAGCATCACAAGACTACCACCCCATACCCCACCCTATCATGCTGCCAGTGTACTAGTATCCCATAGACATAACAGTTACAGGAGAATTCACAGAAAGTGGGAATGCAGATCATGATCTAACCGCTGGTTTGAAGGTCCCAAGTAACCTGCATGCCATTTAAACATGGCCCCTCCAAGCAAATTGTTTATAGAGCTGACCTTTATGCTCTTAATCGCCACAAAGAAATACTGCATTATTAGATTTAATTTCTTATTTAGTTGTACATTATATTTAACACAATTAAAAGAGGAGACTTGTGGTAACCATTAACTTTCAATTTTATCAAATGGCTTCCAACAAAGTTACAAGTTTGCTTACATCAGTTATTCTGACAGTTTTCAGTCTTTATATACAAAATCCTCAGTCAATATCTTCATTGATGACATTGCTAAAGCATGTGACTAGAGAACAACCAGGTGTGCAGAAAGGGCCAATATTAAACACTTAAAAGGCCTGCAAGAAATCAGCCCTGTACTGCAGAGCTGTAAAAAGCATAATTTAAGCCCTCCAAAAACACATTTCAGCCTGCCAGTTCTTGGATGGGGTGGATACATCAGTTTTATTATCAAGCAAAAAAGTTTTCCACATGTACAAAAACTAAATCAATCTTGTAAGAAATGCAGGGTTCTTTTCACTTCCTGTAGAAAGCACAGCTACCCCCCTGTGTAAACTGCTAGTCCCATGCATTTATCATATAATAGAGATGAACAAAAGGCAGACATATCTGAAGTCCAGCCTGTGTGATAACCATGATGTCTTGAACAAAGCGACAAGGAAGTGTTTTATTAGCAGGTTACCAGTTTAAGTCCTAGATTAAGACAACTAATGCAGCAACTACTTTCAAAGGACTGGTAAGCTGAAATATATAAAAACTGTTTTTGGGTTTAGATATGTTTAAAAAAAGGGATTTTTTTTTTTTTTTTTTTTTTTTAAAACACACCCAGCTGAAGTAGAGGGTTATACATGTTTGATAAAGAGAATATCATGGAATTTTAAAGTACCCTTGTCCCAAAAAGGGGGGCACATTCATGTGAGAAGTGAATTACAATTTTACAGCAAACTTAAGGTTTTCTGAGATAAATGGAACTTTTCATACTTTTAAACCCCACTGTGCAACAAAAAGGTCAAATAGCACACCGAGCCCCATTACAAAGGATGGAATTTAGTTACCAAATTAGTGCAAACTGGAAGACAAAGCACACACTGTTGCACAAATGGTATATGTGACAAAGAACTACTATATGAATGGTCAGAAGAATGATCAATTTTAGTTGGTGAGCCTTCTATTTGTAAAAGGGAAAAAAAACAACATGTAAGTTACTATATACCAAATCTTTCAGATTTTTATAACCAAACTGAGGGCTTTGATTAGCCAGTATTGTAAGAGCAAGAGACAAGAAGGGGAAAAACACACAAGACAAACATCTTAGTAATGCAGACATAGTAAAAATGTGCATGGCTTTATTCAAAACAGGTGATGGAACCACCAAATGACCACCCCATAAAATGGTATCACCTTCGGCTGGATTAAAAAAAAAAAATTAAAGAGGAAAAATAAGCGCATATGATGCTCTTAAAACAAAATCAAGACAGTTGGAGGTGAATAAGTCAAGCAATAGCCTCATGTTCTATACCCCATCTGTCTTTTTGTACTTTTGGTTTTTTTGTTTTTTTTTAATAAAATCTCCCCCATTGCCCTCACAGCCTCCCCCCAACCCTCCCAAAACACAAGGTTTAGTCTTCTGTAGACTGAGCTTCTTCATCTGATGCTTCTTCGTCAGATTTCTCTGGCTGAGGGCTTGCAGCTTTCTTCTCCGGTGGTGGTGTCTCTGGTTCATCGTCGTCTTCTTCCTCTTCAGGTTTAGGTGATGGAGACTTCTCCTTCGATGCCTTTGAGGCCGCAGGTCGGCTCTTTCCTTTGGCCTTTGCTGGACTGGGGGTTACTGGAAACAAATTTATTTTTTTCTTCATTTTAGGGGATTTTAATGTCTAGACAATGTAATTTTTTTTTTTTTCCCTTACATTTAAAAAAGGGTGCCAACCTCAATTCCTAAATAAAAATCAAGGGAAACCGCCACTTGAGTGTAAACACACACTTAAAAAATATAAAAGGGTGCTACACATACTAGAGACTCAGCGTCTAATGTCAAATGTGTATAAGTAGGCAAAATAAGAAAAAAAAATAATCAACCAAAATTCAAAAGAAATAAGTTCATCACAAATAGTCCATGCAATAACTCCTCGTAGACTTTGTGCACCATGTCCTCAAAACCAGTGACTGATCACAGGATTATCCAACATGTGAGGCAAGGTTAGCAACTTACAAGATCCACATAATAAGCACATCACATTCCTCAATAACGAACAAGATAAGAAGCAGCTGTCAAGCCTCTCATGGATATTATCTCATAGGTGGGATAACACATACACTCAGAAAGGGATGTCTATAGTGTAGAATATTTATTTTTTTGAATAAAAAAAATAAGAGCCATTACACTCACATTCAATTATGTCAGCGGCACAAACAAGAAAGCATGAGATGGGATCAAACCACTGCTCACAATGCCCAAGCCGGCGTGCATTCTACGCGATCTCCCAAAAATGCATTGAGACACGGCAGTCGCTGTCACTTCCGGTGGGTTGGATTTGGCCCGTGTAACTCACACCAGTTCGGGCAATTGTAAGCAGCGGTGCCTGGTGTTTGACCCCGTCCCACGCTGTGTTTGTGCTCCTGGCACAACTGAATGTGCATGTATCGGCTTTCATATTTGACTCAAGAATATACACTATATTACCAAAAGTATTTGGAACACCTGAATCCAATGACCCAGAGAGGTGTCCTATCACCTGCATGGCCACATGTGTATAAAATAAAGTACCTAGGCATCGCAGTCTGCATGCATGTGAAAGAATAGGTCACTCTCAGGAGCTCAATGAATTCAAGCGTGATAGGTTGCCACCTGTGCAATAAGTCCATCCGTGACATTTCCTTGCTACTAAATATTCCACGGTCAGCTATTGGTACTATAACAAAGTGGAAGCAACTGGGAACAGCAGCAACTCAGCCACAAAGTGCTAGGCCACGTAAAATGACAGCAGGGTCAGCACATGCTGGAGCACACAGTGCGCAGAAGTCACCAACTGTCAGCAGAGTCAATAACTAGATCTCTAAACTTTGTGACACCTTCAGATTAGCACAACAGTGCCTAGAGAGCTTCATGAAATGAGTTTCCATGGCCAAGCAGCTGCATCCAAGCCTTACATCACCAAGTGTAATGAAAAGCATCGGATGCTGTGGTATAAAAGCACACCACCACTGGACTCTAGAACAGTGGAGACGTGTTCTCTGGAGTAACAAATAACGCATCTGGTTTGGCAGTTGCTAGGAGAACGGTACTTACCGGACAGCACTATGCCAAAATGTAAAGTTTGGTGGAGGGCGGATTATGGTGTGGGGTTGTTTTTCAGGGGTTGTGCTTGGCCACTTAGTTCCAGTGAAGGGAGCCATTAAGGTGTCAGCATACAAAGACATTTTGGACAATTTCACGTTCCCAATTTTGTGAGAACAGTTTAGGAAGGGCCCCTTCCTGTTCCGGCATGACTGCTCAGCGGCGCACAAAGCAAGGTCCATAAAGACATGGATGATCAAGTTTGGGATGGAGGAACTTGACTGGCCTATACCAGATAAAACACCTTTTGGATGAATTAGAGCAGAGAAAGCGAGCCAGGCCTTCTCGTCTGACCTCACAAATGCGCTTCTGAAAGAATGGTTAAACATTCCCATAGACACTCCTAAACCTTGTGGACAGCCTTTCTATAAGAGTTGAAGCTGTTATAGCTGCAATGGGTGGGCCAACTCAATAATGAACCCTACGGACTAAGACTGGGATGCCATTAAAGTTCATGTGCGTGTAAAGGGAGGTGTCCCAATCCTTTTGTCAAAATAGTGTACTACACTACATCCCTTTCTCTTTGAGTGTATGTGTTGTTATCCCACCTATGAGAGAATCAAGTACGTTGCCAACCTTGCCACATGTGGTGGATCAAGGGAGTTTATCTTTAGAAGGATCATCTATCACTGCTTTTGGGAACACCGCACAATCTGAGGGTTATTGCATGGACTATTTGCGTTATGGAAATTTCTGTTGAATTCTGGATAGTTGTATATTATAAATATAGGGAAAGTTTACATTTTTTGGCTGATTATACTATTTGACATTAGAGGCTATAGCTATCACAGTCACTAGCAACCTTCATAATTTCATTTGAATGTAATTTTAAAACACGTTAAAAAGAAAGATTTCTCCTAGCTCTCAAGTCAGTGGGTGAACTGCAATACATTGCACATGAGTGCACATTGGCAAGGCAGCCTTGAGGTTCAATTTCTTGTGCTTAACTTTAGCACCTCTAGTTCTGTGTGTAATTTATATCTATATATCTATCTCTCTCTCACATTAACTAGGCACTATGCAGTCTGTTGGATGGAAAAATGTTATGTAGGTTTGTGATTCACATTGACGTGAACATGCAGCTTAACTCATTCATTGGGAAAGCCATTTTATATGGAACATGTGCTATAGACTCAACACTTACCTGTAGCCTTTAGCCGGGGCTTGGGTACTTTTTTCTCTCTCTTCTCAGGTTTAGATTTTTTCACCACTTTTTTCTTTTTCTTTGATCGACCATAATCACTGTCGTCGTCATCTTCAACCATGAAATCCTCATCACTCCCAGAATCTCCTAGACATGTATAAAATAATCTAGTGAATATAACCGACCAAATAACCAAAAAAGGCGATTTCCACTGATCAAGTTATTTGGTGTGCCTTATGGGGAAAAAGGGGGAAGGGGGAAAAAAAAAAAAAAGAAGAGGGAAGGGGAAAAAAAAAAAAAGAAGAAAAAAAAAAAAGAAGGAAGGGGAAAAAAAAAAGAAGAGGGAAGGGGGAAAAAAAAAGGAAGAGGGAAGGGGAAAAAAAAAGGAAGAGGGAAGGGGAAAAAAAAAAAGAAGAGGGAAGGGGAAAAAAAAAAAAGAAGAGGGAAGGGGAAAATAAGAAGAGGGAAGGGGAAAATAAAAAGAAGAGGGAAGGGGGAAAAAAAAAAAGAAGAGGGAAGGGGGAAAAAAAAAAGAAGAGGGAAGGGGGAAAAAAAAAAGAAGAGGGAAGGGGGAAAAAAAGAAGAGGGAAGGGGAAAAAAAAAAGGGAAGGGGAAAAAAGGGAGAGAAAGGGAAGAGTTGGGACAGTACAATAGCCAGATAGACTAGCCAATTCATTATGCAAAAAAAGGACAGTTACTGTGCAGGGACCAGATGACATCAAATTTATGCATTTCATTATAGTACAAAAAAAAAAAATGTAGGTATGCTTCTTAAATTAAATAGTGGATTCATAAAATAGACACTTCACTTTTCAGTTTTGTCATACTGCAGCCCGATACTACACAGTCCTTTCAATTCATTTTTCCCCCCCATTAAAATACACTCATGATAAAGTGAAAACAGAATTTAAGAATGGTCTGAATATATTAATAAAAAACTGAAATCACATTGATTTAAGTATTCAGACCCTTTCCAACAACACATTAAATTTAACCCAGGTCCCTCCCATTTCTCTTGATCGTTGCTGAGAGGTTTCTACACCTTGATTAAAGTCCACCTGTGGTAAATTAAATTTATTGGACATGATTTGGAAAGGGGTGCACACCTCTATAAAAGGCTTCACAGCTGACAGTGCATGCTGTATCACAGTAAAAGCTATGAGGTCAAAGGAATTGCCTGCAGAGCTCAGAGACAGGATCATTGCAAGGCACAAATCTGAGGAAGGCTGCAAAAAAATAAAACAAAAAAAAAACCATTTCTGCTGCACTGAAGCTCCCAAGAGTACAGTGGCCTCCATAATTCTCAAATAGAAGTTTGGCACAACCAGGACTGGACCTTGTGGCCCAACTTGGCAAGCGGGGGGGAGTAGGGCCGTAGTAAGATAAAAAAAAAAAAAAAAAAAAAAAAAAAAAAAAAAGTGGTCTCCAGGGAAGAGAAGATTTTAAAAAGACCTCTGTTGAAGGCTAGGTGAGTCAGATGTCCTTTTGATGGGGCATCAGCATTCCAGCATCCTAAAGCTGAATTTCAGGTATGATTTTTGCATGTCACATTGGTCCAGCTTGAATCAATTTGCGCATATAAATGCCATACCTATGGGACTGCTGTGGAAGCAGGTAGTCATTGTAGTAGTTGCCAGTTATAGCCACTGTCTTCTGGTCTGCCCAGCGGCTGACCTGCTGCATTGTAACCACAGGTCACTCGTTTGGCACAGGCACCAGAGAACACATTGCATTTTTCTTAACCACTTCCAGTCCAAGGTTAGTTTATAAACTATCCTCAGACAGGAACAGTGATAGCACAGTCATCGCTGCAGCAATAGAGATAGCCTCTTGCAGCCCCAGCGATTTTCTACAAAGTAAAAGTAATCCAATCGTCTAATGAGCCACTGGGTTACTTTTACAGGTGGCAGAAGGGGGTCCCACCCTCCCTCCCACCGTTCCTTTGCAGGGCTCTCATGCGAATCGGGGAGCCAGGCAAGGAAACATCAGGCTCTTGGCACACAGTGAGAGGGACGGGTGTCGTACCTCCCACTGTGTGACATCAGAAACAGGAAGAAACGAGGATTTAGTCACTTCCATTTCCTTTGTTTACCTGGCCAGTGATGGCCAGGAAAGCAGCCGATCACACTGATCGGGTGCAGTAGAATGCAAAGGACCCCCCATCGCTCCATAAAGAGGACCTGTTATGTCCCATGCTATTACAAGGGATATCATTTATCCCTTTTAATTGCAATAAAAAAAAAAATTGTTTGTAGCTTGGAATCATAAAGCAACAGACATCTTACAATTGCTTAAGGATCTACACTATTTGACAGAATAAAGTCACAGCAGCTGATCAGTAGAATCCAAAAGAACTTTACCCATAACTTCCTGATAAATAATGTACTTTAGCAAGATACATACATTCCACATTAAAGTGGTTCTTCAGTCCTGCAAAATACAGAAACTGCTGACTTTAATAAAAAGAAGGACACTCACCTGGCCAGGGATCCAGCGCTGTCCTCGCCTGTGTCAGTTCACCAGTCTTCAGATTCCTGGTGCCAGCATCTTTGGTGTGGGAAGCCGACCGATTCCTTGAGGCTGAGGAGGGGGGTGGGGAGATGGGTGAAAGAGGCAGAAAATTAGAAATCCCTTTTGGGTGACGTTCCACTTCAATTATGGTACCAAAATTAGTGTACTATGAATTGCCTCCATCATTGCTCCCGTTTCTTCTTCCCTGAAGCTGCCGCTGCCATTTTGCTGAAGCCCAGAGCCCCCTGAGCAGCAGTAAAATGTTGAGACGGTCAGCAGATTGGCCTAATCATTTTCAGATTTTAAACAGTATAGGCACTTATTTTCAATGTTTTATTAGCGATACCTGCAAAAGGGGCCAGCCTGAAGTGATCTAGCAGGACTTTTTACCGACACCAAGTTCCACTTAAAAGTGGTTCTAAAGGCTGATCATTTTACACCTTCATGAACTCAACAATGCTGCCATTAATCATAGCCAGTGGCAAGGGGGAGGGGCCAGAAGCCCTAGCAGGGGACTTGATAAGAGAAGGATTAGGGCTGCTCTGAAAAGCCATTGTACAGAGCAGATAATTATGACAGGTTTGTGATTTAAAAAAAAACAAAAAAAAAAACCTCAAGCCTTTAGAACCACTTTAATAGGAAAAACACTGAGAAGGTGTGCTAATTCTTACAGTATATGGCAGATCTACCGTAAGTAAACCACCATTTAACAAATTCACACATTTCTGGGCCAGGAACCAAGAACAAATCCAGCCTGCATAGTGGAATACTGCAAACAGGTGTAATGCAAAAAAGTGTGTACAGCTGTAGGAGCTAGTAGAAGGTAGTACACATTGCATCAGTAAATGCTTAAACCCTTCACGCCAACGTAACAAATATGCAGCCTCACAGAACTGGGCTTTTTTCCGTGGTGCTGCATGTTTGCATACCTGTCTTTGTGCTGGGAGCGCGCCGCACAGTGCGCTCCCAGCACAAAGACTGGGACTTCTGATTCTGGGTCACATGAGCGCTGAGAACCCCCCTTGGTTCTTTTTCTCTGAATGGAGATACATTGCATCTCTATCTCCCTGCAGAGAGAAATTTTATATATATAGTTCCATACCAGATTTAGTGTTTGGGTCAAGGTCGGGTCAAAGGTCAAATTTTTATTTTCTTTTTAATTGATATCAAGTGTGTTTTAGGCAAAAAACAAAAGCACACTATTTTTTCTGGGCTGTAGTACAGATGCAAACAAACACACAAATGGTATCGTTGCGATCAAGAGCTGGAAAACTTATTTGGGTTAGTCTTTGGTGGTAGGTTATGGTAGTAACAAGAAACATAGCTAACAATTTTTTTTTACCATTTTGGGCCAGTTTTCCTTTGATAATAAAAATTCAGGAGATATCCATTACCATTTACCACCAAATGAAGGCCCTATTTGTGCTGAAAAAACAAGCTATAAAGTGAAGGAAATAAGTATCTGATCCCCTGCCGATTTTGAATGTTTGCCCACTAACATAGAAATGATCGGTTTAAAAAAATCGAATGGTAGGTGTATTGTAACAGACATGTATTTCTTTTGAATTTTTTTGTTGCTATTCTAACAAATTATGCACTCATTTGCATGTTCATGAGGGAAAGTATTTGATCCCCTTCAAAAAACATGACTTAGGACTTGGTGGCAAATCCCTTCTTGGCAATCACAGAGGTCAGAAGTTTCCTGTAGTTGGCCACCAGGTTTGCACACATCTCAGGAGGGATTTTGGCCCACTCCACTTGGTAAATCCTCTCCAAGTCATTAAGGTTTGGTGGCTGACATTTGGCAACTCGAACTTTCAGCTCCCTCCACAGATTTTAAAATCGGCTTAAGGTCTTGAGACTGGCTAGGCCACTTCAGGACCTTAATGTGTTTCTTCTTGAGCCATGCCTTTGTTGCCTTGGCCGTATGTTTTGGGTCATTGTCATGCTGGAACACCCACCCACGACCCATTTTCAATGTCCTGGCTGAGGGAAGAAGGTTCTCACCCAAGATTAAACGGTACATTGCCCTGTCCATCGTCCCTTTGATGTGGTACAGTTGTCCTGTCCCCTTAGCAGAAAAACACCCCCAAAGCAGAATATTTCCACCACCATGTTTGACAGTTGGGATGGTGTTCTTGGGGTCATAGGCAGCATTCCTCCTCCTCCAAACACGGCGAGTTGAGGCCAAAGAGCTTGATTTTGGTCTCATCTGACCACAACACTTTCAACCAGTCCTCGATCATTCAGATGTTCAGTGGCAAACTTCAGACGGCCCTGGACATGTGCTTTCTTGAGCAGAGGGACCTTGCGGGCACTGCAGGATTTCAATCCTTGTCGGTGTAGTGTGTTACCAATTGTTTTCTTGGTGACTGTGGTCCCAGCTGCCTGGAGATCATTGACAAGATCCTCACGTGTAGCTCTTGGATGATTCCTCACTGTTCTCATGATCATTGACACTCCACGAGGTGAGATCTTGCATGGTGCACCAAACCTTGGGAGACTGACAGCTGTGTTTCTTCCATTTGCGAATGATTGCACCAACTGTGGAGAGTTTGGAATCTGATGGTTTGATTGCTCCTGTGGACAGGTCTTTTATATACAGGTAACAAAATGAGATTAGAAGCAGACTCTTAAAGGAAGTACTGCTAATTTCAGCTTGTTACCTGTATGAAAGATGCCTGGTAGCCAGAAATCCTGCTGAATGATAGGGGATCAAATACTTATTTCCCTCATGAACATGCAAATCAGTGTATCATTTGTTAGACATGCATTTCTCTTGAATTTTTTGTTGCTATTCTGTCTCTCAGTGTTACAATACACCTACCATTCAATTTTTAGACTGATCACAGCATCAGGTGTTTTAACCAGTGTTAATTTTTACACCAAAATTTCATAGTTTTAACCAGTCTCTGATTTTAGTTATAGTCACATTTTTGTCAAATAAAATCTAATGCTTTTAGTTTAACTGTAAAAACAAAAAATAAACCTTTAGAATCACTTTAAAAAATAAACATGCATATACCTACCTGCTGTGTACAGCGATTTTGCACAGAGGAGCCCAGATCCTCCTCTTTTAGAGTCCCCCACAGGCTCTCCTAGCCCCTCCCTCCTGTTGGGTGCCCCCACAGCAAGCAGCTTGCTATGGGGGCACCCGCTGGTCCGTATATCCAGTCACACATGAAGCCACAGCCCAGCCCCCCCCCTCCTCGTTATTAGCTCACTGGCTGTGATTGACAGCAGTGGGAGCCAATGGCTCCTGCCTCAGCCACTGAGGAGAGGGAGTCACGGGATAGCCGAGATTCCAGTGCACATCTCTGGATTGAGGGGGGGCCTAGGTGATTAGGGGGGGCTGCTGCACACCGGTTTTTTACCTTCATACATAGAATCCATGAAGGTAAAAAACCTTGAGCCTTTAGAACCCCTTTAAGCATTTCTCTAGAATACCCCAACTCATACCCCTGGAGTAAAAAATCTAACACTTATGGTATTAAGGTTTTAACATGGACTACAAAAAAAACAAAAATACACAAACACAGATTTAGGCTGCAAATGGGGATGGGGAAGTAAGTGGGAGTGCACAGGGAAGAGCACTGGACAGTCTGGGGAGGCTGTTTTACAGTGCCAAGCACTGCTACCTTGCTGGGAGGGGAAAATGCATGTCACATAAGGACCAATACAAATTAATCCGAGAGTTCCTTCTCTATGGTTTGCAGCATTGTTCCAGAACTCCCAGGCAGCAGGCAAGCAGAAAGAGGGAGCCTGTCATCTCTCAGCCAATACATCTTGCCGATAGAAATCGGGGGATTAGAGCTTTAACAGACAGGCGGAGCTCCAAAGAAAGCACAAGTTCAGGTGGGTAACACTCCTCCCTCGCTAGACAGCATGGAGCTTGCAGAACGCCACCTAAATCGATATTCCTCCAGCATTAATCCTTACCACTGTAAAAAAATAGCAGTGGAGAGCAATGTGAAAGGCATCCCCCAGTGGTGGGGTAGAACCTGGTGTTTTAGATTAAGGCACAGATAAGGGACAGTGCCTGAAGGTCACAATACAGGCAAGACCAGAAATTAGCAGGACTGAGGGGGGGGGGGGGGGGGGGGGCATCCAACCTACCACGACGTTAGCAAAAAAAAAAAAAAAAAAAATAATATATATATATATATATATATATATATATATATATATATATATATATATATATATAAAATGGAAATAAGTTTGGAATAGGAGGGGTTATTCTTGTTTGCCAGTACCCATTCCACCTGCAGATGGCAGTAGAGCCTGAAAGTATCCAAATTCATGTGCCCCTCAAAAGGACAGCAAAAGGAGGTTTTTCTCTCCCAAAAGGACACCTTTAGTCCCAGCGCTCTTTTGCAAGTTTAAAAGGCGACTGTGTGACTGGAGTAGCTTGAAGCCTAAACATAATAAATTAGGAAAGCATCAGCTAGGGTAGTTTCCAGGGTAAGAGCTAGATACTCCAGGTGATGTGTGTCCACATCAATTCCACACCTTTCAATTTTTCTTCATGATCTCGTATCGCTCTAAAGTGAAGTAATCCATGAACGGAAGGCACAACAGGGCCTTTTTAGAGGCCTGTAGCACAGACCACGGGGGAGATGGATATGTGAAGTTGCATCACGTGAAGCCGGGGGCCAACATTTCTTCTACACAAGTGAAAACCAGGTAGGGCAGAAAACACTTTAGAGGAGGAAGGGTTCTGTGTAGATGCCGTTAATTGTGTATATTTGGAAAAAAAAAAAAAAACCCACACACACACACACGTAAAGGACACACCTAAACATTTAGCTTTGTGGGAATCCTAGAGGATTAGACAACAGTAAACATAACTGGTCAAGTAAACAAAACATAAGAGGACAGAACCCAAAGTGGGACTCATGGGACAATTTTGTCCTTTTTAGGTGCATCTATTTCTTATAAAGTTGATGCCTTGGTCCACTTTTATACACAGCAGTGCTCAAACTCACTTTCCAAAAACGGTGCTTCCTCTTCATCCTCCTGCTCTTCATCCTCACTTCCTTCATCACCCATCAGCATCTCTCTCTGCTTGGAAGCAGCTTTAGATGCAGCTTGTCTTTGTTGGCGTACATTTTTACGTTCTCTCTCATCATCACTGTCACCTAAAACAAAGCGTGGAACCTCAATAAAAAGGATACTCGAGTATCAGCACACACACACACAAAAAAAAAAAAAATAAAGCTTTTACGATATAAAGAAAAAAAAAACCCACACCACCTAATTTATAGAGTCCAGAGTTCATAGCATCTGGTTTTAGAGAAAACTAGGAACTCTGACTTACCTGTGAATTCTATATCCAAGTACAGTAGAGGCTATAGGAACTTCAATAGATTATGGGTTATATATGCTGTTACCTTCGGGTGAATTGGACGCTGGCAATGCTTTGCCGAGTAGGCTTGATACTAAAAAAAAGCCAAGAAAACCCCAGACATCTCTAGAATTGGCCCAGGTACGAAGGAGAATCATTCCAAGAGGGGCACATGCTCTAGTAGGACAAAATATACACCTAGCCAGGAGGAAGGGAAAGGAGAAGTCCCATAGAGGGAGCATGAAGGAATCTGTTCAAGGAAAACATGGCAAGCAGCCACAGATGACCATTTTGATACCATCCACAAAAGGTGAATTGGGACTTGCTAGACACACCTTCAAGGCAGAACAGTAAGAAGAATGACACAAAGATAATTAGAAGAGTCCCAGGAAAGCAAAAAGGAGCTAGCTATATGGGACATATATAAGGATATGTTGTCCTCATAGGGCATGGGGAAGAGGGGAAATAAAAAAAAAAAAAAAAAAAAAAAAAAAAAAGGGCTCCCAGAAGTAATGGGAGCCAAGGCACCACTATGGCTGCTAGGGTGTGGCAAATATTCCAGAAAGCAGGTGAGAATCCCTCCCTTGTCACAAACAGGAGAAAGGCGTCCCGGAAGCAGTGGAAATACAAGATAAGTGAAAGTGTCAGAGCCACATAGAACAAACTGACCTCCTGGGGATACACAGAATGGGGGGCTGCACTCAAGTTCCTCCTTACCTAAAAAGGTATTTGGCACCCCTCGCCACCGCTGAGACAAATCATAATGACATAGTGGCCCGTGCTGGAAATAGCAGCCCCAGTAAGCCAAGAAGGTATGGAGCCAGCAAACACCAGGGTGTGGTCTATCTCAACAGGTTCCCCACTAAATCTGTCAGTGCCCCCTCACCCCCGCAAGAAAGGCAGACTTGGCCCCACAAAATGCTCTGCGACCTGCAGTTCCACAAAGTAAGCACTGCTGCAACCTGTAGGCCAACAAAGAATGCCTTTTTGTGACTTGCGGTCCCTCAGGATTTAAAAAACAAAAAAAAAAAAAAAAAAAAAAAAAACTTTGCTGCTACTTGTAGTTCACATGTGCTCTGCTGTAAGCCACAAGTTTAGTTTCCTTCAGAGAATGTACTACTGAAGCACAGTCCAAGATGGCCACCACCTGCATGCTTCACCCCACTTGAGATGTTACAGCTGTATTGTGCATGTGTACGCAGCCCTGCTCTTTCCAGAGTGAAAGTGAATGCGGGGCAGAGAAGTTTACACTTCCTACATTTGGTGCTGAGCCTCCCATACCACTCCTTGTATGATGGTACAAAACCACCACACACTACTGTGACCTGCAGTCCCACACAATGAAAAAGCCACCCTTCCTGTCCTGCCCCAGGGTGGGAGCTGGTCACCAAAAGGAGGTTACCAGCAAGGCTACCTTGAGGCACTAGTCCTGCAGCAGGACCCCCCAGGGGGTCCAGTCTTCACCCATCAGAGCAGGCTCTGTGGCCAAGAGTCTGCAGAGACTATTCGCCATCAGGAATCACTTCCCTAGACCTGTATAATACCCTACAGGTCCACAAGGTAATATTTCATTGAAGTGAATTCACTCTGGCCAGAAACATGTCCAGAGCAGGATCTAGGCAAGATCCCACCGAATGTTGAAAAGCTGTAGGAAAATAGATCCAGAGAGAGCTAGCCTACTAATCCCAGATGGAACCGCTGGGAAGCTTGCTAAATTTGTGTGCAGACACATGTCCATCACCTAAGACACTAGCAAAGAAAAAAAAACAAAAAAAAAGTCTTGCCTAACAGGAAGGTTATGTCTAGAAGGGGACTCAGTGTCCAATCACCTGAAGGTGGCAGCATAACCTAATGTAAAGGACATGGCCATAAAAAAAATAAAATAGGCAACTGAGCCTGAACACCACCGCCCCCAAAGATAAATCCTGGAAAGACTGGTAATAACTATGTTCAGATGTGATTATAGCTGTGGAAGCAGCTCATAAAGACAGTTCAGATGAACCACGGGTATGGGTTTGAGAAGATTTGCTACCTGCAGCAGATCTTTTTCTAGGTTTGGAAGATCGCTTCTTCTCTGGTGTAGGTTTTTTGCCCTTTTTGCTTTTTTTTGGACTTTCATAGTCACTGTCAGCTTTTCCATCTCCAGCTGCCAAGTCATCATCACTGCCAAAGTCTTCATCTGGGAAAAGAAAATAAACAAAAGCACCAATTACATTTGAGCAAACATCATAAAACTTCTACAAGGGAGAACATGCAGAAATCAAGATGGCTATATCAACCGATAATTCAAACCGGGCATTGCTTTTTCTTTTTTTTTTTTTTTGTACGCATAGTGGTTAGCCCAGATTCGCGTAGCATGTGTACAACTTTGCACAACCAACACTTTACTTCAGCATTGTTACTCAAGCAATCTGCCTATACCACCGAACGAATTACACAGAAATTAAAAAGATTTGAACCTTCAACACTCGACAAGAGGAAAGCATTATCAGTATTAAAGCTAGAAGGAAGAACGCAGAGGCATAACTGTTCTCTAGTAGGAAAGTTCAAAAGCAACCTTACAAAGATTTATAAAAAGAAAGTTGGTGGCTAAAGAAACTGGCTTCCAGCAGCAACAAAAAGACACCCTAGATAATAAAATCAAAAACCCACACCATTCCAGCACAGATCCATATGAAAAAACTACAAAATGCATATCAATTCAATTACAGGGTTTCTAAATTTAAAAAAAAAATAAAAAATTCTAGCCAGCATTTCCACATACGGTTGAAGTTTAAACATGGCATTGCAGTAGAAAATATATTTGCTTCACATATGCAATACTTATTCAAATCTTGCACCCATTCAGATATCAAAAAGGGAGAAAAACCCATTTGACGATCATTCTTCAGGTGATAAAAAGGAGTACTGCCAGGAGTTTTATACTCATCCAAAAGAGAAGATCTAAAAATGCCTAAAAATAAATGTCAAATGGATCTATACTAAAAGAAAGACCTGTTACATTAGCAATTTAGATAACTTCCATCCAGTATCGTTTAAAGTGGTTGTAAAGGCTGAAGGGTTTTTTACCTTCATGCATTCTATGCATGTAGGTAAAAAAAAAAAAAAAAAAGAAAAAAAAAAAAAAAACCTATATGCAGTATCCCCCCCAGCCTCCTCAACACTTACCTGAGCCTCATTGTGATCCAGTGATATGAATGACAGCCTCGGCTGTTCCAGGTCTCTGACCCATTGGCTGAGACAGCAAGTGGGAGCCATTGGCTCCCACTGCCATCAATCACAGCCAGTAAGGCTGTGACGAGAGGGGGCTGGATCAAGCCACAACTCCATTTGTGAATGGACAAACAGAGCAGCAGGTGCCCCTATAGCAAGGTGGAGTCAACCCGGAGGGACGAGCTGTTTGCCCGGCCGCCATCTTGCAATTGGTTAATCAAATTGGTACATCCCTCTATAGAGGGGCAACTTACACAGGGCATGAGTTGTGACCCGAAATCAACAGAAGCAGGTTAAAGTGGCTCTAAAGCCTCACTTTTTTTTTTTTATCTTAACACATTCTATGGGTGGAGGAGCTACCCCCCCCCAAAAACTAAATTTGGTAGTGCATCCAACACTACCCTCGCCACAGGTTGATCGTGCTGCTGTCCAGGGGTGGCTCCATTGCTACTCCAGAGTAGAGGCATCCAAAACAGGAAGCATTACTGCCTAGATCACCAGGTGAAAATAAGGAAATTAATGCAGCCACCACATTTTGATATTCGTGAGTTGCAATACACAATTTTTGGTTTTGGGTTAAGATTCACCAAGATCAGCAGAACTGTCTGAAATCAATGTGTTATTAAAGGACATGTATGCATTTCCATTAGTACCACCACACCCTCCACAGGTTTTTACCTCCTGAATTGTGCTCCTCTTTTTTGGTTTTCTTCACATCTTTTTCTTCAGATTCTTCACTAAAAGAGAAAAAGTAAAAGCCAAGTTAGACATTTTAAAAAATGTTAATGTGAGGCTAATGTAACCAAGACACTTGATGTAAAAACTGAAATAAAGCAAAAATTAACTACTTGCCAACCGCAGATAGCCGAATGACGGCTACACTGCGGCCGGTCAGTTCTGGGAGAGCGTCCTATGATGTCCTCCCAGAACGCGCTCTCCTGCAGCACTGCCAAGGAAGGAGGACCAGAGAGAAGAACTAAGAGTTGGTGATCACCTGAAGAATTGGCATCTCCTGGATTCAGATGCAGAGTGCCAGGCTCAAACAACCGCTTCACACGGTGCAAGTCAGAGAATGGAGGAGCTGCCAATCACCTGAGGCATCGCCTGCATCTCTAATTCTCAAAATGTTTTAATTTATTCAGTTTCTTTACTTATTTGGTTTCATTGGGTGCTCACATCTACCTATTCTTTAAACATGTAGGGTGTTTTTGCTATATAAACAAAAATACAGTGGTGAATACCACCAAAGCTATTTTCCACTATGTGTGGGAAGAAATCACAAAAATGTCAGTTGCATGACTGAGCAATTGTTAAAAGTAGCACGGTGCTGAATAGCAAAATAAATAAATACAAAATGCCCTTGTCATGAAGAGGGTAAAACCTTCCTAAGGTCAAGTGGTTAAACTTCAGTTCATTGCTATCACAAGGACACTGACAGTGTCTGGTGGAAAATTGGGATGCACATTTCTGTACATATGTGAACAGGCTTTGCAGCTGCCGGAATCATTTCAATTACAAAGTGGGCTTTGAAGAGTAAAAATGTCAACGTTTCATTTGGATGTGTGTACACATTACTATGGTGCCTTTGTTTTATATAGCATGCACTGCAGGTTTTCAACCCCTTTAACAGGAAGACTAGCACTGTGCAAAGTTTTCAAACTACTTTTTTTTTTTTTTTTTTTTTTTTTTAAACAGGATTGTATGGCGTATAACATCTTTGTATAGCTTTTCCATTACGCATTTTCAATGCAATGAACTTAATGGATCAAGGTCAGAAGTGAGCAATTATACAGACTAGGACATTTTTTTCCCTTGGATTCAATTATGAATTTCTCCCTTTTGTTAACCGCTTTCTGACTGCCCAATAGCAGAAATATTGCTACAGGGCGGCACAGGTGCACAAAATCATATATTTGCATCTTCGGGCAGGGGCACACACCCTACTCGCGCCGCCATTCGTGGCTGTCAATCACCGGGTCCCAGCCGGTGATCACTCGCCGGTGCCCAGTGTTTGAGGATCTCCGACAGGGAGAATGATTTTGTTTACTAACAGTTCTCCTGTCAGCTCATTCAGGCACACTGCTTTGAATGGCATGGCACAGCACAGCCATCCAAAGCAGTGCGATTACAGTGAAGCACACTGACACACCCCCAAGTAAAACACTCCCCACAGTTAACCCTTTGATTGCCCCTCATGTTAACCCCTTCCTGCCCAGTGCCATTAGTACAGTGTTCGTGCTTTTTTTTTTTTTTTTTTTTTTTTAGCACTGATCACTGTATTGGTGTCACTAGAGAGGTCAGTGACACCAAGTGAGTTCCCTCCAGTCAGAATGTCCGCTGCAGTCCCGCTATAAGTCGCTGATCGTGGCCATTACTAGTAAAAATAAATTACAAAAAATGTTTGTATATATATACCGCCATTTGTAAACGCAATAACCAATTTACACATATTGGGATTTTTTTTTTTTAACAAAGCCATGTAGCAGAATACATTTTGGAGTAAATTTGATTTAAATTTTTTACTGAACATGTCAAAAAATAGTTCTCAAAAAATTGTCAGTTTTTTTTATAGAGCAAAAAATAAAACACAGGCGATCAAATGCCACCAAAAGAAAGCTGAATTTGTGGGAAAAAAAGGAAATAAATATTTGGACACAGCATTGCATGACCGCACAATTGTCTAACGCTGCGCCGTAACGCAAAAAAATGGACTAGTCAGGAGGGGGGGGGGGGGGGGGGTGAAGTGGTTAAGGTGAAGTACAAAAGGTTTACCTCTCTTGTGAGTTTCTTCCAGATCGCCTTTTCTCTTTACTCTCTCTTGTGGATGCCCGAGATTTCTTGGCTGGTGGAGCAGATTCTCGTCCATACTCTTCATCTACAAAATGAGCAATTTACTAAAGCGTTGTATATATATTTTAAATGTTTTCGTGCACAGGTGAGTCTTTTAGCCTTGTTTCCATGTAATACACACAAAACCATAGGGTGTAGAATGGCAGCAGGTGCTCTGGACTGATTCAATCTGAAATATTTGGCTGTAGCAAAAAGACAGTCTGTGAAGGGCTGCAGAGCAGTACATTGAGTGTCTACAGGAAACAGTGAAGCATGGTGGAGGATCCCTGCAAGTTTCTGCAAACAGAGTTGGAGATTTGGTCCGGATCAATGGCCTCTACAGGCATACACTTATAGATACATAACGCTATACCATCAGGGAGGTATGTGACTGGCATCAAATTTATTCTGCAGCTGGTCAATAACCCCAAATGCACAGCCAATGTCAACAGTTGACCGTGGAATATTTAGTAGCAAGGAAATGTCACGGATGGACTTATTGCATAGGTGGCAACCTATCACGCTTTAATTCACTGAGCTCCTGAAAGCGACCCAATCTTTCACAAAAAATATCGTAGCAGTCTGAATCCAATAAATTTGGAGGGGTGTCCCAATATTTTTGGCAATATAGTGTGTATTAAAAAACAAAAACAAAAAACCCACAACAAAAAACGCACATAGAAAGTTCAGCAGCATTGCAGTGAAAATGAATTACTGATAAAAAAACATTCTGCAAAAATGTCCTCAGTTCAGTAGAATACAGATTTAGACCCCTTTTCACAACAAGCAGATTGTGTTTTCCGATCAGCTCACAGAACCCCCTGCAGAGCAGGTGGATGGCTCAGTTTATGCACAGCAGACATGGACAGAGCCCGCTGTGCTCTATGAGCGGTCTGGAGTAAACTGACTGTTGACATCCAACTACCCTCTGATCAGATTAAATGGTGGACATTTTTTTTTTTTTTTTTTTTTTTTTTTTTTTTTTTTTAGCAGACTGGATCAGACCTGGAGGAAGGTGCTAGTAAATAGACTTGCCTGTCGGTAGTTTTTCAGGTGGACCTGACTTAAAGGTCCATACCTTTCTGACAGGTAGACCTGATTGGATCACCTGTGTGAAAGGTGCCTTAAAGGTTAAGTTCATCTTTGGAACATGTTCCACTCATTTACGCTTGTAGTTCAGGAATTATTCCTGGAAGCCAGTAGCTGCCTGCCTGTATAGGAGCTAGAGTGTACCGAGAGTCTGCAGTAGCCTGGCATTGCAACCCCGATTTGCTGATCATGGGTGCAATTCCTTACAGCTAGTGTCAGGTACGCAGTCCAAATTCAGCCTGCCAGGCCATCTTATTGGGCCCTTGCATCTAGAACGTTTTGCAGCTGCAACTCTGTTCTGCTACCTCTGTACCTCTCACTCTACTCCTCACTGTCACTTGTAAAACACAGAAATCTAAGATGAGGGCTCTGGAGGGAGGTCAGAGACTAAGGCAGGGTGGAAGTGAGATGTGGACAACCTGTGAGGTGCTGGACCCTGCACATAATGCACACCTAAACCCTAAACAGTCTTAACATGCTTTGGGGGCAACCATAAATGTCAATGTGGGCCGCAAAGAAATGGGAGATAGATACCTCTGCTTTACAGGCTCCAGTGAAAAAAAAAAAAAAAAAAAAAAGTGAACTTACCCATTAAAAATACTCAGGTAAGCAAAAATCAGTAGGTGGGGAGGGTTGCTCAACTCTTCCCCTCCTTCTATGGCCACAATTCTCATCCAACCTTCCTTCCCCACAATGATCTAATTCTGCTCCAATATGTGGAAAAACTTAAATGTGTCAAACAATGCAGGTAAATGCATATATCAGACATGCCTCATATTTTACTTCAATATTTTAAGGGCCTGTTCACAATATGTGCAGCGACTTACATTCCACACGATCAATTCCAGACACTGCAAGAGAAAAAACATTTTTCTGTATGCCCTGTTCATACCATAATGCTTAGTGTGATCTGCAGTGTGGGGAAAGTGCAGACATGAAAATGGGGCAATAAGTGTGTGAGCAGTGTGAACAGACCCAAGTCCTTTGTCAAAATCATAGGCCATACACACCCATGCCCTGCGTGAGGGCCGTCCGCATGAGGATGCACAGGCATTGTGCATCCCTGTGCAGGTAGTTCCATAGCTTTAAACTGGGATATAGCGACTGCACAGATAGCTGCTCCAAATGTCAACGAGGCCATAGGCATTCATAATCTTCTTTCTGAAAGCCTTGGAGTGTCAGTTGGACACAACTTGTCCCTATAAAGAGGTTCTAAACATTGGCACCTAATCTGGGAAAAATCCTATTGTACTTTCATATAAATTTGGACTACTGGCAAGTATAGAGGTACTTTTTCCACATGACAAAACTGCACTTAACTTATATATTTATTCTTGTAGTCTATCACCTTTATGTGTTGGGACGGTTTAAATTATGGGTGCACCGAAATTCCAGTGGCCAAAAATCTCTATCAGCATTTTGCTGATAGGAAAAAATTAGCGATACAGGTGCCGATAATTGTGGCCCGAAAGAGACCCAGGCCCCAAACATGGGCAGACTAACTATTTGGCCAGAGGGTTGGGGGGGGGGGGGGGAGGAATGTCTCACTCTCACACTGAAAGGCAGTTTGTTTCTTTTTGGCATAGCACTGCGTTGCATGCAGGCAGCCAATAAAGATGAATGGATACACATTAGTTCTGCACCCGTGTGTACCTGTCAAACTCAGCTGTGCAGGCAAATCCATACAGTTACTGCTTCTCCATGCAGCCCAGTGCGACCCCAAGAACATATGGCTAAATCACACTGTATGGGCCTGAGTGCCTTTGTAACTGAAGCCTTGTATGTAAAGTTTTTAGGATTGCTACATAAAGCTCACACATAGTGGCTAAGTGAATTGCACTTCCACCTAGCAGCACTAGGGTTGTCAGTCGAAAACCAAACCATGGCACTACCTGCATGGAGTTTGCATGTTCTCCCCTGTGCTGGCGTGGGTTTTCCGTCCACATTCTAAAGACATGCTGGCAAGGCTGCAGTTTGAAACCACAGGGCCCCTTATAGCCAACCTGACAGCCCCTCCCTTAATAAACATTTTACTATACTTCAGTTGTGGATGAACACCATGAAGATTTTGTACCAAATCACTCATTATGGTCATTCACGAAATTAAGGGCCCGGTAAATATTACATTTAATGGGACCCTTCCCCACTCAGAATACATCCAGAAAGATCCATATTTACATAGTCTAGTTCAAAATAAATTAAAACACCATACAAGTCCATCAATTCAACCAATAAAAAGAAAAAAGGATCCTATTGTGCGCTTACAGTTGCCGGCGGGAGAAAGGGAAGGGAAGCTGGAAGCACTACAGGGTAATGGGGGGATTGCACACAGGGAGGAATGGGCAGCAGGGGAAAAGTATGGTGCACAGGGAGGGTGACCAGTGTGGCATGGGGGCAATTACTCGAGCGATCCCCTGTATGCCTCTCAGTAGCAGCTGAAAGCAGGTGGGGGGAGAGACAAGCAGCAAGCTTCTGCAGAGAACCATACAGGTGATCAGTTCAAGTAACTGCCCCCCTGTAGCTCTGATCCCCTTCCCTGCCCACATCCAATTCACTCAACTGCCTGGGCCCCCCCTACTGGCCCAGTCCCCATACAGGAGGACCGGTGGTACCCCTTATCCACGGCCCTGAATGCCAGTAGGTTATTTGGCTCCTGTCTAAACTGGCCCTAGTATGTGAATGAATGAGAGTTTGGGACCTTTAAAGTTCCTAGAGAGCAGGGACTGATTTAAAAGTATATTATATACTACCGCTCAAAAGTTTTTAGAAATACTCCCATTTTTTTCCCAGTTTATTGAAATGTGTGCAGCTTAATGTCTCAATGTACACTGAAATAAAGCATAAAAACAAATTGGAAATAAATCATGGAATCATTAACAAAAATGTCACTCAGAAAATTGTGAGTCTGTTCTGGTTTTGGGTCTGCCAGACCTCCTCCTGTCAACATTCTCCAGTTTCCAAGAGCATTCTGATGGTGTAGGAAGCTTTACTCACCGACACCTTGGATTTCTTTTCAATTTCTCTAAAGACCTACACTTTTAAGGGTCATAATGGTCTATCCGTCTTGCTTTACTAATCTTTTTCTCACCATTTTGAGAGCAATATACCACTTCCTGCTGTAAAATACTGCCCAAATATTTATTTAAAAGGATATCGTAACAGTCCGTTTCAACACTGCTTTTATATAGAGAGCTTGTAAGTAAATCAAAAATAGTTGGGACACCTGTAGGAATAGTTAGCATAAACTTTCAATGCTTAAGTACTTACATTACTGCAGAACCAAGTTGTTAACCAATTACTCCCTGAAAAATAAACTTAACTGAAGTGTACATTTTTCAGTTTGTTAACCTAGTCGTCCCCCCCCCCCCACCCCAGTTATTCACTCAACGTGAACTGTTTAAATTTCAATAAAAACTGGAAAAATAGGGGGCGTTCTAAAACTTTTCACTAGTAGTGTATGTAAGCACTGCATAAAATAAATACCTAAGCACACCAAACAAAAAACATACCATCAGAATCTTGAAACTGTGAATAGTCAACCACTTTTCTGTTCCTAGAAAAAAAAAATTCACATGAAGTCAATGTATAAAAAAAACAAAAAAACACAAAAAAAAAAAAAAAAACACCACAGAATACAACTTAACATACAGGAGAAAAAAAAAATCCACAAAAAATGAACTTTCATTATGGATTAGTTGGTCTGCATACATAGTGCATTATTGGTTTACATGTCAGAAAATACAGTGCAGCACACATACAGCTCTGTACACATCTGTATATAGAATGCAGCACACATACAACTCAGTACACCATCCAAACATGTAAGTGCCCGAGAACAAGTAAATGTGTGAAGAGGAAAGCTTTATATCCCCCCTCCACGCTTCAAATCTGGCTCCCAGTTAAAATACCCTAAAACATCCTACCTACTTCTGGTGACGTTGCAAAAAAATATATTATATTATATATATATATATATATATATATATATATATATATATATAATAAAAAAAGCCATGCTGATACTACTAAATGTCTTTGCAACAGTAGGCACAGGTAACTTGAATTTTAAGCTGCCTGCCTACAACAAGGGAGTCCACCATGCGTAACATTCTATTACAATCCTGCAAAACAGTGTTTTAGGTCTTTGATTTTTCCTTAACTGCTTCCCTACCACCCTATAGTAGAAGTATATATGCAATTTTGCATTTCTGGGTAGGTGGCGTGCACGCTCCCTACCCACGTTGCTATTGGCTCCTTGGCAGGACAATAGCTAATTCTTGCATGTAAACAGATCTCTCCCATCAGCATGAATAGGCTGCTTTGTAATGCTCTGCACAGCAGAGCAATACAAAGCAGCTGGTCTACATGATAAAAAAAACTCAGCACCCAATGTAACAGCACAGTTAACCCTTTGATTGCCCCAGATGTTAACCCCTTCCCGCCCAGTGTCAGTGCTTTCTATTAGCATTGATCACTGTGTTTGTGTCACTAGGGATGTCAGTGGCAGTCAATTATCTCCAACATTCCTACGCCATTAGTTTTTTTTTTATGAAATTTTTTACTGGATTATAGCAGAGTCAAAAATGTTTTTTTTTTTTTTTCAAAATTGTTGGTGTTTATAGTGCAAAAATTAAAAACCGCAGATTATCAAATACCACCGAAAGAAAGCTATTTGTGGTGGACAAATTTAATTTATGTACAATGTTGCATGCCTGCGCAATTGTCAGTTAAAGTAACTCAGCGCCGTATTGTAAAAAATGGCCTGATCGGGGTAGGGGTAAATCCTCTGGTGGGCAAGTGGTTAAATAGAAATGTAGATCCGAGTCTGATGTGTACCAGATTCAACCTCTAATAGTTGATACAGTATATCTCCGAGTTATTCTCAGAGTGGATTAGCTGGTTATTTATATTTACCACTGCGTATATACTCAAGAATAAAAAATGTCTAAACATTGCATATTAAAAAAAAAAAAAGTTTGCCTTCAGTTTTACTTTAGTGTCACTAAACCCACATCATTAAAAAAAAATCTGTATTACATGCTGTTCATAATCACTATGGGATTCATTTTCTGTATTCCGCAAAAATACTTGGTATTCCCTGTTCTCTCTCCCCCTTCTGTCCACGTCCCCAATGCAGCTGGGATTTTGCAGAGCAGTGTTGGCATTTACTGCACATGATCAGTTTTCAGTGAGTTCTTTGCTGAGCATTTCCTCCGTGTCCCATCTGAGCAGCCCATGTGACTAGAGTCACATGTGGGCATAAACACAGTGGTAAATGACAGCCCACTCCCTCCACCATGCCCACTAACAAGCTAAAAGATAATGAAGGTGAGATACTACATCGTGATGGAGGCTTCTCCTGCCTTTTATTCTAAGACACAGGCTGGAGGGGTGCGAGCCTGTGACTAGCAGAAATCCACCCATTGCGGAGATTTACCTTAACTTCCTGTCCATAGTAAACAGGAAGTGAACGTAAATCCCAGCAAATTAAGAGAATACCTTGGGGACTCCCAAGTCAAAAGAACTAGAGGCTCCATTGGAAGATTCCCCCTCTTACTTTTTTGGGGATAACACAAAATTTGAGAATTTTCCTTTTACCTTTTTTTACCATCATACTTAAAAGTAGGAGGGTGAATTTTCCCAATGGGAGCACAGGCAATAAAAACCTGAAAAGGTATTTGATTCCTCTCTACTATATCCAAAAGGAAGATATGTTTTGCCTGTGGCTACAATTTAGCCCTCATGGACACTGGACATTTTTACAGCTGCTGTTTTTGGCTTTTGATGTTTTTTTCCACAGCCAGTAAACTCCCCAGCATGCTATTCTATGTGTCCATGCACACAGACTAATCAGTGTTTTTTTGGCATGGGCTGGAACCCCCCCCCCCCCCCCTTCCTCTAGAAACTAGTGGGTTTCTAGAGGAGTTTAGCTGTGAAAACACTAATGCTGGGGAAAAAAGCTGAAAAACAAGTTAACGTGATTTTACACATATAACGCTGCCAGCGTTATTAAAACGCCCAGTGTGCATGGGGCCTAAAGTTAAACTCCAGGCAAAAAAAAACAGTCCATCGCTGAATCGTGAGGGAGCACCATTTGCCGGTGGAGCAGAGGACAGGATTAAACTAGCACAATCCCACTGCAAGAAGCCCCGACTTGGCCTTAAGTGCAGGGATGTTCAATATATATCGCTTGACGCCCAGGACATGCAGCTCTGGACACCGGGCAGGTAGTTTACCTTTAGCCTTGCTGTGGGCAAACAGCAAGGGTCATCTATCAGGTGGAAGCATTTGGGCAGCAGCGCTGCTGCCTGACTGCTTCCACACAGCCCACTATGACAGATATCCATCTATCTATATACATACACACTATAGTGTTTGAGGGTTTTGTGTAATCTTCAGGCCAAAAATTGTGTTTTTTTTTTTTTTACACACGTTTTAAAAAAAAAAAAAAAAAAAATCAACACAGCTCTGGCAGTGAAAGGGATAAAGGATAAGCCGAACACTCCTTTCCTGAGGAGCACCCAAATCGGTGCTCATTACACTGCAAGGTCTCTCCTCCCTGCTAGCGCACAGGTGCGGTGCTGGGGACAGGCAGGGGAGAGGAGATAAACTGTTAATATTTTTTACATTGTGCTGTTTAAGTCACCGTAGAGTCCCTTTTCAAAAGCTCCAGACATTAAAGCAGATTTAAATACGGTTTTGGTTAAAATTAATTTTCTTCGTCGGGACAAGTAGATTGTCATGAGGGACAAGTAGATTGGGAGACAGATTTAGTCCCTGGACAAGTAGTTTTTTTCAAAAATTTCCACTTTAGTTTTAAAGAGAAAAGAATACACTCCTGTTAAGTTTCACCACTATCCAGGGCTCCATTGAAGAGGTTTTAGCTTACTTTCTGTTCTGTAGCAAACCGGGAGTGAGGAACAATCTGCAACAGGTGTTCTAGGATCCCCTAACCAGAACACTTCGATTATAGGCAGCTAAACGCAGATACAACTTCTCTTTCAAGTGCCCAACTCCCAGCACAAATTATTATGGCCTCTCCCCTCAAGGTAGATTTTCCCTTGCTTTTCTCTGGTGTAATGTTCACTGACCAAATTGTTCATTTTACTACCTTTTTTTTTAGTTGTCCCCAGAAAAAAAAAAAAAAAAAAAAGGTAAGGGTATATATTGTACTAGAAGCATGTTCTGGTGAGTGTTCAAAGAGGAATTCCTTACTTTCTCCTGAACAGGACTGCCTCCTGGAACTACTGGAAACTCGTACCTACAGGTAAGCTTATAATAAATGAATATCTCCTAAAAACACACACTACTTGGGAGATATTCAGTGTCCCTGCAGCCAATAAAAGTCACCGGTGCATGCGCTCTGTGCCACGGCCGAGACTTCTGCGTGCATGTGCACAGAGTGATGTCCTTGCGGCTCGGTTAATCAAGCGGCCAGAGCACATGAACCTGGCAAAATAGACCAGGTGAGGATGGAAGCCAAGGGTGCCACTGGAGGGCTTTGTTCTAAGGTAAATCTTTAATTACGCGCTAGAATATGATGCATACAAGCATATTGTGACATTTTGCTGCTGTGTCCGAGACAATGAGGGGGCAGAGAGCTGGGACAGCAGCACCTTTCACACATCACTCGACTGGGCTCAGGCAAGTAGTAGGGAGGGCTGGAAGGAGAGCTGCATAAGTTTTTTTTCTACCTTCATGCATAGAATGAAGAAAAAAACCTTTAGCCTTTACAACCACTTTAAAGTAGAACTGAAAGCAAAACTTTTCATTTTGGAGTAAGGAAGGGTTACAACGCCTGTGAGTTTTTTTGCTGTGTCCCATTGGGGTGATTTTTCATCCCTGTCTCAATCACAACAGAAAGTGAGAAGAAATCCCTGGCATTTACCAGAACTAGTGTCCCCCATTGGACGATTTCCCCTCTATGTCCATTCTGTTGGCCACTCAAAATGTGGGATTTTCTTTTAATTTCAGTGAAAGCAGTCAACAGGACCAAGAGGGTGAATCCAAACAAGTACACAGAACGCAGTAGAGACCTGACAGGTCTCCTAATCCTCCTCACTACCTAACACTAAATGTTTTGCCTTTAGTTATACTTTAACTCCTTGATGCCGACATCACAAAAATATGTGACCTCACAGTACTGGGCTTTTTTCCGTGGTGCTGCATATTTGCGTACTTGTCTGTGCTGGGAGCGTGCTGCACAGCGCACTCCCAGCACGAAGACCAGGGTGTCACTGAGAGCCCCGGTTCCCCTTCTAACAACCAGGACCTCCCGATTCCGGGTCAAATGATCGCTGTGAGAGCCTCTGATTGGCTATCACAGTGATCAGTCTCTGAGGCGCCCCAGATGAAAGCCCAATTTGTCATGAAAAAAAAATACGGTATAATTCATCTGGATGAACAAAGTAGTTGTGATGATATGTAAAGTTTTACTAACACATGTCAAAGTTGTAAAATTTTACTTAGGCTTTAAGATTTGTTTTACCCTTAGGCGTGAAGGGGTTAAAGCAGAGCTACAAACTTTTCTTTTTCCATTTTGGATAGTGTTATAA